ACCCTAAAACAGTGAACAATAAAACCAAAGGTCCACTAAAAATAAATTAAAATATAAAATAAAATAACATCAAATATAGTAATTTAACTCAAATAAAAAAATTAAACTCAATAACATAATTTAAAACTCAATTAACAGATTGGGATACATTTCATCATTTATTTATGATCATACGTGTACATGAACCATGTCTTGTATCCAGTGTACCACCAATTTGCATATACATTCACATCTTAAATTATCAAGCTCAGGTATAATATGAAGTTTACATAGCATGACATGCACGCAACCATAGCATTCCTGCATCTAGAAATTTAATGTGATCTTTCACATCAACTCCAAAAAATCATTCATGACGCATGCATGATGCATCCATGATGCATAAATTTCCTTTCATAGCCATATGCCTAGTTGGCCAATCCCACTGCAACTCCTTATATTCCAAGGAACATAGCAAATGAATACGTGCAAGTAAAGAGAAGATTACCAATTTTCTCAAGCATCGCCCTTGAATGTGAAAACTTAGAACTGCAAAGCGGCATCACTTGTAAGAACCTGTAACCCACCCAGAACCCAGCAACACTCAAAACCAAAAGCATCAATGTTCCACCTAATTCAAAGTCACTGAAGAGCCTACTATCAAAGGCTGCAACCTCCACATTATCCCCAAGATGCTACACATGCTATATTTACTTCATATCCCATATCACTTACGAAACAATTATGCTGTTTGAACTGCAAGATTGTTCGACAAAAAATTACAGTATCCAGGATCGGCAGCATAAATCATTTCTAATTTTCTCAGTTATTCCCAACCAGTATGTTTAGAGGAATGGCATCCATAGATCATTTGAATATGGGAGATCTTGCTAGCCAAAATAGGTAACAGACGAGCACTTGGAACTAACATGATCTTCTTTCTATGAACTTGTATGATTACCTAGGAAATGGAAATGTTACATGTGGCAGACACATGCCAGAATAAATTCTAGAATGTACGGCACCATCTATCTTGCACTGCTCAAAATCCTTCAGAGAAGAGCTGGTTGTGGCCCCCAGCTAAATGGAAGGCAGCTGTCTTAACTTGCTGCTTGGCAATACCAGGGCCAACCAGCTCGGCCAGCTGCAACTAATGCAATGGATGCATGCTTGTAGATAAATTAACAAGAAGTCAGAATCCTCCAGCAAGAGTCGATAGCTAAATAGAAATTATGACAGAATCATAATTAGCACAATAACAGCAGCTGAGCTTTCCCTCCTAACTTTTGACTCTTAAATTCTATCATTAAGCTCGCTCAGAATGAGTACACATGAACAAATCAAATCGGACGCTGTTGAGCTAAATCCCATTTAGTGCATGAACAGTAAAACCGACAGCAATGTCTTGTTGCGACTTAAATTTCAATGATCACTGCAGCGATTGTTATTAGAATTGCAGAAACAGCTAGCATACACCAAGAACATAAAAGGCAATCACAAATAACTGACCTATAACTACACTGGAGCACATCTTTTAAAAGCACAAAAATATGCTGAATTCAACCATCATCTAGGAAACAACAGTTCTTCATTTCAGTGCAGAACTGTTCAAAGCAAAAGTTGAAATTGAAAGGGAATGACTCAGGAATTAGATGGTGTCATTGGACAGCTTGAGCATTCAAAGAAACCAATCAGTAGAAACGGCGAGCCTGAATGACCAAAAATAGGAAGGGCATAGAGATTTTTAAGGAATAGAAGTTTCCAGACAAGATTTACTAGATGTTTCTAAAATTCTTTCCTTCCTATCTCTCTTTTTTAACAGTTTCAAACGATTACTGCGGGCTTTAAGTAAAAACCATAATGATGATGATTAATGAAGCAATATTTGTGTAATCTCACATTGTTTGAGGACCGATCGTCGTTTTTTTATTTCTTTAATGCCAACGATCTCCCTGCCATATCTTTGCAATCTCATCTCGTTTGAGGGCTAATTTTCATTTTTTACATCTCTAATACCAACGATCTCCCTACCATACATAATCTCAATTATGGGATTAACACCATACATCACCTGGAACCAAGTGCAAGTTAACTTTCATAACATGAAAAAGATACCATTGACACTGATATGAACGAACTGCATGTGTTTTCTATGTGGAGGACATAACACTTACTTCCAGTGTGTGGACAAGCATCCACCACAAACTTAGAACACAAAAATCTTAAATACATTTCCAAAAAGACAAATAATCATAACACAGCCACCACATTAAGCAAAGTGAAAATATGCCTAGAGTGTATCTAAATATGGAATTTGCATAATGGCATTAGCGGCCACACAAATATTTATTGAGCATGAGCACATTTGGTCAAAATCTGACAATGAATAAATTAGATTAGAGCAAGAGATGTTAATTCCATGCAACGTACAAAGCTAAAAAAGAACTCTTGGTCGTACACGAGTCCAACCATTGATCGTGTCTGTTTGAGCATTACCCATTCTGAAATGTATCTAAGAATATCTGTTTCTTTAGCAAACGTTCCTAGAAAGGGGAAACATTAGCTCCTCTATCAACTCTAAACAGAGTCAAAAGGTGTTGAACAAGCACAACGTGCATTTAACATACTTTGGACAGAATACTCAAACCACAAGCAAAGAGCATAAAGTTTTTAATTTGCATGGGTAGATATTGCTCGCATCTAATAATAAATAAATTAGACTGATTCATAGTCAGAATCAGACCAAAGCGCAACAGCTTGGAATCCAGTACGTATTGGGATTTAACACCAGTAAATTTCGGCTGGATCTGAAGTGTTACACAATCCTAGTATCAATAGGTGAACCTCACGAAAGTAACTTGTAAGAAGACAAAAGTATAACCCTATGCTAACTATGAAATATACCCTAAACATAACAGGCCACCATTCTCTTCTATGTCAATGCAGTAATCAAACCCCCTTCAACATGCATACACAGAAATCCAAGCAATACTCATGACACGCATTCATCATACAAAACTGAAATAAAAGACTACTGTCCTATTTAATTACTAAAACTGTGTCAAAGACGGTATAACGATAAAACTATTAGTCATGTACACCACTAGAAACTTCATACCGGTTTAGCATCGTTCATTAAGAATCAAGCGATTAGCATGCAGTTCCTTTTTGCAGACATTCATAGAAAAAGATAGTGAGTGTTTTATTTGAATTCAGTCTTCATTTGCATTCAGAGTGCTTCTAATAGGATATCAAACACTTTTCCAAAACACTCGTGCAACTAATAGAAATTCATCTGAAGAGGTTTCATTGCAATCAAATGCAACAGTCAAGGGTTGTGCATTAGCATTGTACCAACTGTGTCTTTTCTCATAGAACCAGCTATTTGGAAAAGGATTTTCTCAAAACTTTTACATTTTTTCCTATTTTCATTCTCTGCTACAAACAAACAACGAAAAATTCTAAAGAAATGCTAAAAGCATTCATTTCTCTAATCTATTGAGACATATTCTGTTAAATCTACCAAGTTAGCGACCCTTATAGATCTCCAATTGTCCTGGAAAACTTTCCATAAATTAAGTAGTTCAAGAATGGAAACCAGCACTTTAATCAACCAAAACAAAAGGCAAAGAAGGTAAGATTAAAACTTTCATTGACAAAAAAGGTAACTCCATTTACCAAAGGTGCCAAATTGCACTAAACTAAAACAACTTCTAAAAAAGGAAACATTTAGAAAGCCTCAAAGTACAACTTAAACTTCCCTAAAAACTTGAAGAGTATTTGAGAATTACCCAACTCCAGAGCAGTTGTTGACAGAATATACATGTTCAACACTGTAACGCCATGTAAATGTTGTCAAGAGGCTAGAACTACCACCGAAGAGGCAACAAAACTATTTATTCCACCATGATACCTCCTGCTCCTCCCCTCCTCCCGCCTACCTATCAGAAAATGTGCATCTCCATCCAGCCCATAAAAACCCAGAACATTCCTCACCACCACCACACAATGAATGCAAACGAGCCTCGCCCACTGCTATCCACTACTTTAGCATTCTACTTCCCGGCTCAAACTTGAAGAATGGTTGATTTCTCTTGCTCTTCCCCATCACTACAACAAGTATTACTCACAATCTTCCTCACTTCCACATCACAATTACACACCAGCTGCCGCTTATCAATCAGATCTTTCCCTTTCTCCTCACTCCAACTCTTCCCGACCAAATCACAAAAGAAATCAGTCAAAGCAGTCTCGTAACCGGGCATTTTGGCATACCCAGGAAAGTAATTAATATCAATCACAAGGTACCTATTCCCAATTCTAGCATCCCTAATGACATCAAAATTAAACAAATTCAACTTCAATCCCCTCCTCAATCCTCTAGCAATATCGGTGATAAAACTCTGTGGTGGCAACTCAGTATCCTCCAAATCCATTAACTTGTAATACTTGTCACCATTTCTCTCATCACTAGTCAAATTCGAAACCTGCGAAAACGACAATGACCCTTCCAAACTCTTCAGTTTCTCCTCGGAAACATCCGGTAACGACTTCCTTTTCACACACTTGACAAATTCCCCTACCACGTAAACTTTAAAGATAACGCCGCCGTGATTAACAAACTCTTGTAAGACAATTGGGGGTTTCAGTTTATTTAAACCCTCATGGTTAAAAACCAAAGCCATTTTATGCGATTTTGCGCTACCATCAGCAATTAATGGTTTCGCAATGACCGGATATTTTAAAAACTCCCAAGATTGCCGGTCGAAAAGCGTTTCCTTATCGTAAATCACAATCTGTTTCGGAATGCCGAATGTGTCCGTTTCCGACTCGATCTTTAGCTCCGAAACGACTTGTAGCATCGAGATTCGGTTGTGGAGTCGTTCGATTGACGCAGGCGAGTCGATTATAGTCGAATTAGGGTTTTGAATTTGGAACGCCTCGAGTTGGTTCCTCCAATGGTCACCGTACAATTTGTGGAGAACGCAATCGAACGGTCCTTGATCAGTTAATCGACGGTCCTGATCAATTTTCACCAGATCGACGCCTTTTGATCTGCAGAGAGAGAGCAGTGAGTCTTGGATGAAGCTTTGTTGTTTCTTTGGCAACAGCGCGTAGCCAACAACGCCTCTCCTATCGTCCGCCATTGGGATTGATTGGCTTTTTCGAGGATGAAATTGAAAGATTTTGATTGCATTCAATTCAGAAATGTGATTTTTAAAAATCTTGGGGATTTGTTTTTAAATCTTAGAAAATTCTTGGAACACCCAAAAAAAAAAACCTTGAAAGGGAGTGATAGGGAGGGAGAGAAAGGAGAGGGGTGGTATATATAGATATTGTACTAGGGTTAGTGTGATCTGATAGAGCCACCAGAGCTAATGAAAAGGGAGTACACGTGGCATACTCTTTGATTCTCCCCGAACGATAAGTTGGATGACTCGTGTTTGACCATACAAGAAGAAAGCTCTCTCAGTTCAACTGTATTTTAAAAAAGAGTTTTTTATTTTATTTTGATTTTTTATGTATTTTTTTATATTTATTTTATGGTATTAATATTAAAAATAGATTTTAAAAAAATAATATATATATATATATATTATTTTGATATATTTTTAAATAAAAAATATTTTAAAAATTATAAAGAAGAGAGGCTGCAGGAGGAGTAAGTTAGTCTTGATTAATTAGGATAAGGGTGGGAATGTTATCTAATGTAAATTGTGTTTTTAAAAATTTTAATTTATTTTAAATTTAAAAAATTATATTTTGAGATTATTTTAAAATGATAATATCAAAAATAATTTAAAAAAATAAAAAAAAAATATTTTAATTTATTTAAAAAAAAAAAATTTTTTAAACCACCACTCCTATTATAATTTTAATCCGATATTTTTCTTCTCTCGCTTGAATTTCCTTGGGTTATTAGAAGTGGGACATCACTGTCGAAAGAAGATGGAATTTAGAAAATGTGGAATCAAATGACCAAGTATATACTTTCTTTGCATATTTTTTTTTTTCCTTGCGGGTCCTACCACATACATTGGAGTCCATTTTGTCTTATCGTGGCCCCATTTGATGATGTGACTTTGTATTAATTAAATTTGTTTCCTTCGTGGATTTTTTGCGGGCCTTTGGCACACCCTTTTAGGGATGATGCGGATGGTTAGCATTCATGCATTTTTCCTTATTGTTGTCTTTCTTTTTTTTCTCATGTGTTCATAATATTTGGCCTTTAATCAATTATACGACCCGTGTAATATCATGAGTTAATCTTTTTATATAAAAAATACTAAAAATATTAAATTTTAAAAATATTAAATTTTTTTACAAAATTATATTTAAAAATTTTAAATTTAACTGCAATGTTTGCTTCAGAGTAATATTTATAATAATATTAAACTTGAAATACTCAAGTTTAACTGGGTCTCACTGCAATACCAAACCCAACAGGCTTGAATATGACTCTGACTATAAGATTGTGTTATAAAAGTATGATATTTAAATAGATTAATTAAAAAAATAAAGAAAAAAACCAATATTAAGAAAAAAAATTAATGAAGAAAAAAGAAAAAAACTGAATTAACTGGGTTAACCTGTCAAATCTGAGATTCGTGTCATGAAAGTCTGATAACTAAATAAAAAAATTAATATCAACAAACTAAATAAAAAAATTTAACTAAAAAGAAAAAAATGACATTAATCTTTTCATCGTGAACTGGACCATACAGTTCACAGTGAAAGACATAAAACAAACAAAAAAAAAAATTAAAGGCGTCAACTTTTTCATCATGGACTGCATATAATATTAAAAGATAAAATCGAAATAACAAAACTAACGAGGAAAAAGAAAAACAATCTGAATCAACTGGGTTAACCCGTCAAACCATGTTAACCCGTCAAACCTGAAATACGTGTCATGAAAGTCTAATAATTAAACATAAAAAATTTAATATTAAGAAACTAAATTAAAAGAATAATTACAAAAAAAGAAAAAAAGACAAAAAAAAATTAAAGGCATCAACTTTTTCATTGTGGACTCCACTATGCAGTCCAAAGTAAAAAGCTTAAAAAAAAAAAACAAAGACATAAGCCATGGGTTTTTTTTTTGCATAAAAAATATAAAAAACAATGTTAAGATCTAAGAGTGTTATGTCTTTCTGCAAAGATATGCCCAAGAGTAATATTTATAATAATATTAAACTTACATGGCTCAAGTTTAAGTAAGTCTGTTTGCAACACCGGATACAAGAGCCTTAGATGTAGATCTGGCTACAAGGTTGTATCATGAGAGTGTGATAATTAAATAGATTAATTAAAAAAAACAAGAAAAAAAATCAATGGAAAGAAAAAAACTAATGAAGAAAAAAAATCTGAATTAACTGAGTTAACCGTTCAAACCAGATTAACTCATCAAATTTTAGATTCGCGTCATAAAAGTTTGATAACTAAATATAAAAAAACAATTAACGGGTTCACCTGTCAAACTCGGGATACTTGTCATGAAAGTCTGACAATCAAATAAAAAGAAATTTAACATTAACAAATGAAATTAAATGAGAAAAATTAATTAAAAACAAAAAAAATAAAATTTCAGGACTCGTCAACTTAGGTTAACTTGTCAAACTAGAGATTCGTATCATGAAAGTTTGGTAACTAAATAAAAAAAATTACCATTAACAAACTAAATTAAACAAAAGAAAATTATTAAAAGAAAAAACACAAAGAAAAAAGCAAAAAAAAAACCTATAAAGACATAAAAAATAATAAAAAATATAATTATAATTATAATTATAATTATA